TGTGAACACCGTTTCGGCAGCAATGATAAGCTCGTGGACCACATGAACGCACATCAGGGCCTACGAGTGGTCGAGTGTCCGGTCGAGGGTTGCGATAAGACATTCACCGGTAAGCCATCGGTTAGACAACACTTAAAACAAGTCCATAAGTTTAAGACCACTGAAGGACTTATGCCTCACATTAAATGAATTGTAATTTTTCGGTAATTTTATGTATATTAATGTTTTGTAAAATTTTGTTTAATTTAATATAATTATGATAACAATTATAAGAAAATTATACTTTAAAGCCTTTGATTACTTACATTTTAATTATTAACAGTATTAAACTTGATTTCTCAAAGCATTCCTATTGTATACGTTATTAATGAATGGTTTGTTATGTGAGCCGTGTTTACAAACACTCACTTTTGCTCACAATTTAGTCCACATTTGAATTGAATTTAATTACTATTGAAATCATTTTAAGTTTTGGTTTTATTTGTATTGAAATTATGGCTAAAATACTAGTGAATGATGTGTTGGAAGAGCTCTGGACTGAAAACACAAGACTTTTATATGAATTGAAAAGTTGTCACAAAATAATGGACTTGTTTTAAGTGTTGTCTAACCGATGGCTTACCGGTGAATGTCTTANAAGTACAGACAATTCGTGATTAGTTTGAATGCAAACTGTATTTGTCCTCAAAATAGTGGACACAAACACACGTGGAATCAATTGACACACATTTACCACACTTTCACACATGATATCAAGTCATTCAACACATCACTCGATGCACATCCAGTGCCCGAAGACATCACATCCAGAGATGACAACAAACACAGTGTCCGACAACTCATTCAAACAGAGGACACAAGAAGTGAATCAAAGAAGAGATTAAATGGCAATAAAGCGAAGACAACAACAAAGAGAAGACATAGAAAACAAAAGAAAACAATAAGCGATGAATCGGACGATAATTCAAAACACAATTGGGAACAGACTTTAAGTGATGAAGAAATTGATGACAAAATTGTTATCTTTTTCTCTTTTATGCAATTCTTTTCGCTTTCTTCACTTCTTATACACTTGTTTAGTTACTTTATGAACACACTTACCCTCCCGACACCTGTCGCCAAGGGTTAGGGCAGCGATAACAGCAGTGTCATCGCCTCTAAACACACCAAAGAGAGGGCCTATAAGTGCGAAGAGTGCGGCAAACGGTTCACAACCGCTCATTATAATGGGAGGGCTGTGGACAGCGGTTCCCAATCCCGTCGCTATTGTCGTCACACATCGCCGCCAAACACACCAAAGAGAGGGCCTATAAGTGCGAAGAGTGCGGCAAACGGTTCACAACCGCTCATTATCTTCGGGTGCATAAGAAGATCCATACGGAGGACAGTCGAAAGTACCGGTGCTCTTGGGTTGGCTGTGACTCCACTTTTCGCACAAAACAAAGACTTCTCGTTCACATGCAATCACATGAACAGCTGCGACAATACCCGTGCGATGAATGTGACCTACGATTCAATAACAGGGGAAGTCTATATAGACACAGGCAAAGGCACTCCGGCGCCCGACCCTATGTGTGTGATTGGCCCGCGTGTGGGGCCGCGTATAAAGACCTATCGATGATTAACCGCCACAAAGAGACACATCTGGCAGTGAAACAGTATGTCTGCGATATAGAGGGTTGTGGTAAAGGGTTTGTCACTAAATCCTATTTATATCAACACAAGAATCAACACTCTTTGCCATTTGTGTGCAGTTGGCCCGCATGTGACCGACGCTACGGCGCCAAAGACAAGCTCACAGATCACATGAACTCACATCAGGGCCTACGAGTGGTCGAGTGTCCGGTCGAGGGTTGCGATAAGACATTCACATCCAAACCCTGTGCGCGACAACACTTAAGACAAGTCCACAAATATAAGACTACTGAAGGACTCATTCCTATCAATAAATAAATTTTAGTTTTACTTAATTTTATATGTATTGATATTTTGTAAATAATTATATGTTATAATAAATAGCAATTTATTTAACGTTTAATTTAAAGTAAAATAAAATATTTATCATTTTCTAATTTACCCAAAAGTTTTTATACCGTATTTTACACGTTATTAATGAATGGTTTGTTATGAGAGATCTGTTGACAAAACACTGGCTTTTGTACTCAATTTAGTCCACAATTGAATTGAGATTTAAATACAATTAAAATCATAATTAAGTTTTGATTTGATTTGTATTGAAATTATGGCTAAAATACTAGTGAATGATGTGTTGGAAGAGCTCTGGACTGAAAACACAAGACTTTTATATGAATTGAAAAGTTGTCACAAAATAATGGATTTGTTTGAAAAGTACAGACAATTCGTGATTAGTTTGAATGCAAACTGTATTTGTCCTCAAAATAGTGGACACAAACACACGTGGAATCAATTGACACACATTTACCACACTTTCACACATGATATCAAGTCATTCAACACATCACTCGATGCACATCCAGTGCCCGAAGACATCACATCCAGAGATGACAACAAACACAGTGTCCGACAACTCATACAAACAGAGGACACAAGAAGTGAATCAATTGTTTTAAAGAAGACATTGAATGGCAATAAAGCGAAGACAACAACAAAGAGAAAATATACGAAACGCGACAAGACGTCAGACAACTGGCCGAATGGGAAGCGCTTTCGACCGAAAGTCTTTGTCTGTGAATACACGGGATGTGAGCGACGGTTCCGGGAGTCGGAAGAACTCGTGGCACACATTCGGGTCAGACATACAATGGAGCGGCCGTTCGGTTGCGACGTCTGCCACAAGACATTCCCTATCGAGCGATACCTACGGATCCACCAGAAAATCCATGCGGAGGACAGCCGACAGGTCCGGTGCGAACGCGAGGGCTGTGACAAAAGCGACGAATCGGAGGATAATTCTGACCACAAATGGGAACAGACTTTAAGTGATGAAGAAATGGATGACAAAAATGAGAAGAAAAAGAGAAAATATGTTAAGAAAATAAAGACTCAAACGAGTGATAATCAGAAGACAACGACAACAACACCAAAGAGGAAATATATTAAACAAAATAAGACATTGAATGACACGAATGGGAAGCGCTTTCGACCGAAAAACATTGTCTGCGAATACACGGGATGTGAGCGACGGTTCCGCGAGAATGAAGACCTCGTGGCACACATTCGGGTCAGACATACAATGGAGCGGCCGTTTGAGTGTGACGTCTGTCACAAGACATTTGTCGTCGAGCGGTATCTGCGGTCGCATCAGAAGATCCATACGGAACCCAATAGTGGCAAGAAGTACGGCTGTTCGTGGCCGGGATGTGAATACGTGTTCCGCACCAAACAGTCACTTTCCAATCACATGCTATGCCATCAACAGCTCAAACAATACGCGTGCGATGAATGTGACCAACGATTTAATCTCAAGGCTAGTCTACAATCGCATAAGAAGTCCCGGCACTCCAACGCCCGGCCCTATGTGTGTGATTGGCCCGCGTGTGAGGCCACGTATAAGTATTGGTCTACACTTCATAGCCATAAACAGATACATCTGGGAGTCAAACAGTTTATGTGCGATATAGAGGGTTGTGGTAAAGGGTTTGTCACTAAACACTATTTATATCAACACAAACGTCAACACTTGAAGCCATTTGCGTGCAGTTGGCCCGCGTGTGACCAGCGTTTTGGTAGCAATGATAAGCTCGTGGACCACATGAACGCACATCAGGGCCTACGAGTGGTCGACTGTCCTGTCGAGGGTTGCAATAAGACATTTACGTGTAAACCCTCTGCGAGACATCACTTAAAACAAGTCCATAACTATGCCTCTACTGAAGGCGTTTTTGATAAATAGAGGTTTATTGTAATTTGTATTAAATTTGTTATTGAAATGAAATCTATTTTTAATTTGCATTAATTTGTTAAATACAAGGATTGCATAATTCTTTGATTTAGTTTTACTTTACTTTATTTATATCAGTATTTAACAAAAGTATATTTTACCATTAAATAAATTAATTATAATACCGTATAATTGATTAACATTTTTCAAACATATTTATTTGTATTATTACAAAATTACAAATTACAAACTATTACAAAATTATATGTTACTTTTAACTTTAACTTTAAACGAGTACTGTTAGATAATAAATTTTCATTAAATAAATAAATAACTATGTTCTATTTACCAAGTAATTATCAAGCATTTATTACCATATTTTGCATTATCTTTAAACCTGAAGTACTTTCTCAGATAATCAGATTATTTGTTATATAAAATGTTATACACATGTGATAGAAATGTTTGTCTGAATTGACAAGTTTTTTATATGACAGCACACGTGAGGACAACATAAGGACATTTCAATACTGTGTACTGAAAGGGCAAATCTGGTGACAAATATATTGTTGGCCAGTACTTTATTAAATTGTCATGTAGTTAATTTTGTTAGCAGATAAGCATTTTGATCTTGATTAAAATGGAACAACAATAAGCATACATCGAGTAAATTACTTTTTATAAAGTTGTGCCGATTTTTGTATGTTATAGTAAATTAGTGCTAACTCTTGTGATATTTAAGTTAGATTTTAATGGAGGAACAGCTTGTTTGTCAAGTTTGCGGTGATATAGCATGTGGTATGAATTAATTACGAGTTGTTATTTGTAAATTATAATTAAATTTAATTACAATTATTTGTATTTCCGACGCTAACTGTGAACACGAAAATAAGGCTTTAATTTCAATGCACAGACGTGTCAGTCGTGTAAAGTTATGTTCAGACGTAATGCCGCTAATTATGAGGTAATAATTGGTTAAATGATTTATTTGCTAATAATTATTTGAATAATTAATAAATTACTAATGAGAATTGCCAGTCGTAAACCGCACGTAATGTAATGCACTTCTAACATAATATCTATAATTTGCGGCTTTCATAACGTTTTTTACAGCAAACTTTTTCACAAATGCTATCGGAATGAAAAAAGTAATTAATATTTTAATTTGATTTTAATTTATTAATTGTTTATTAATATATTTCATTATAGAATCGGATCTTAACTGAGAAACAAAAGGCCATCAGAAAGAAGAGGATTGAGTCGAATCGTAAGAATCGGTTAAATAACGATTGGATTATAGAAAATGAAATTACAAACAAAGAGTTGTCAAACAATTTCAATATATCTCTGGAAACTGTGAAACGTTTTGAACATTTAGAGCGAATCCACGAAACCGTTAAGAACCGGATCACAGAACTCGAGGATTATTTTAATGTTGCCATCGATGGCAACTGAGAGTGACATTTATTCATTATATTATTGGTCACATGAGATTATCGTATTTTTAATCATGTTACATTATTGAATCACATTAATATACCCGTATTTCTCAATTGTAAAACAATTAAAAACTCTCTAAAACTAATGCAAATAATTGTCAACTTATAAAACAATACAACAAAACACATATAATTATAACGCGCTATGAATTGACTATTAAATTCAAACCAATTGTAGAAAACAAATATAAATTAAAATTACAAAACAAAGACCAAAACCAAAATCGTTATTATCTTTGACACCAAATAAGTGTTGAAAAGCATTGAAATCGTGAAATGGCCGGCAGTAAGGGTGACGACCAGCCGTTCAGTATGGAGGACACAGCCGGCACTCCCACCGGAACAGCATTTCTCGCGGGCTTTGCTCTCGGAGTTTGGCTCGTATTGTGGAAACACCGGTCCTATTGAGACATATTCTTCCGGAGCGACACTTACTCTCATATATTCAGCGAATAAATATGTTTTTAAGTCTCAAATGTTTTCAGCAATTATTTGTCAATAAAATTCTTTGAATGAAATGTGAATTAAATTTATTGGAAATTAAAACAAATATTTATTTTTTGTTATTATATTAAATGATAAAAATTATTCTTCCGGTTTGTGTGTCTTATCGTAAGCCTGTTTTGCTAAAGTCATCAAATGTGTGGCCATTTGTGGTCCGGTTTGTTGGACCAACTGATAGAAGAGTCCGTTGGCGTTGTGTAAGAGATGGAAGGGATGGTCGAACTCGCGGACACTCCCGGAGTCCATAACCAGAACTCTATGCGAATCGATAATTGTGTTCAATCGGTGAGCGATTGTCAATACCGTCGATGACTGGAAGTGCTCTCTAATGGCGGTCTGAATGAGTG